TAAGTAATTCTTCTAACAAATTTAAAAATAATATTTTACTAAGCTTTTATTAACATTACCATTAATAGATGCTACATGTATTAAGTTACAACACTAATATTTAAAAAATATAATGAAAACAAAGGTATCTAAAATTTGAACATCTTTTTAACCATCGCATTAACTTTAGTATTGGTCTCGACTAATTTAATGGAATTCAATTTCAGTTTTTCCAAAGCAGCTTTGTTATTGGGGTCGTTTTGTAAAAGTTTCAAAAAACTTTTGTGCGCCTTTTCATAATCATGAGTTTCATACCACGATACGCCATATTTATAAAGAGCCTTAACGTTATTCTCATTAATATTAAAAATCTTTTCACACAAAGTAATTACGGTCTCATAATCTTGGTGTTTAAGATAACAAGAAGCGAGATTATTATATAAAATTGCTTTTAAATTTTCTATTTCAAACACTTTTACTCCGTCAATACACTGTTAAATATTTCGTGAAAGATGAATAAATAAACCTAACATTATTACTTTTTCCAATAAAATAACATTACCTTATCCAACTGTTCCTTATATTTACTGCTGAATTCTTCGCCGCCCATTTTTCGTTTACCATTAAACTGACTTAATGCCTTATCCTTTATCCTTTGATGTTCCGTTTCTATAGTTGTGGCATTGAGATAAGGTTTAGTACCCCCACAAACTTCCTCCATAAGTTGAACATACAATTCTTTGGCATCTGCAACTGCAGCTAAATTGTTTGCCTCTGCAGTTGCCTAAAACACATTAAATAAATTAACATGATTATTTTTTATTTAATAAAAAGGATAATACTTACTACTAACATGGATTTTGGTTCTGGTAACTCATTACCACTATATATTTGAATATATGATTTGAAATATTGCACAAGGTCCCTGGACTTAACTTTTTGACCATTTATTTTTTTCAAAACTAAGTTTTCTGGTGATAACAACATTGGCACAAGTATTTGTAAGTATTTTTTAAATTCCGAATCGATTTCTGTAAAAATAAAATATGCATATCATTTAAATTATTTAAATAGCCCTATTTCTGAATACCAGATAGTCGTCCATCAAAAGTGGGACTGGTAGCAACTTTAAGACCAGGATGTGGCATCAAGAAGCATGCAATCTCTGTAAAACAGGACTTTATATGTTTCCTTAATGACTGCAGTTCTGGATGTTGTTTGTCATTTAATTGCAGTCTACGATCAAGAATCTTTTTGCCACCAATTGCACCATATTCTGCTTCATATGGAAAACTCCAGTCCCTCACCAAAAATTGCAATCTTTGGAAGGGAGCCTTACCAGTGTCTGCTAAAGCTAACCTACCATATTCTGTGAACAACTGAATAACATTTATAGAGACTAACATTTTTATAAACAGAAGTCTTGAGAACACTTTTTTAACCAAAATCTTAAATGCTCCCTAAGCACACACCTGTAAATGTTGCAAGTCGTCTTCTTGAATATTTTGGGATAAGTTATATATTTCGACAGAGCTAACCATTGTACTTAATGCGAAAACTGTTGCACAATCTTTGACAGTGCTCTCACTATCAAAAGCACCTTGTGTGTCTAGTAAAATTACTGCTACCTGAAATTTTTTTGTTATTTTTCATGTAATCCTTTTCTTATAATTTACCTTTTCTCCTGTGTACAATTCTGTTAAAAAAACTTCAGACCACATTAATATACCTGTTGTCTCCCTTTCTGAACCACCACGCCACGAAAAGCCTGTCAAGGGAACATTGGGAGACCCTAGCCATTCTGATGAATTTTGCTTCAATAGATACTAAAAGAAATATAATCAATAAATAATGCTATTCCCCCAATTTTTAAATGTACTTACTCTTGAGTTCATAAACCGAAGAAAAAAATCAAGTAGAAACGATTTTCCTTTTCTGAATGCTCCTGCAACTGACACCACAGACACGTATCTGTCTTTGATTTCATCTCTTAGTAAAATTGATTCTAATGCTTTTTCGTCTAAGGTAAAGGAATGGTTTGCATTGTCTGCTAAAATTATTGGCACTGCATGTGGTTCCATATTTGTAGTGATGGTGTCTAAAATAAAAAAAATTCAATAAAAAAAACTGACTACTTTGGAGTAAAGATCAAGGATAATAAATAAAACATGAATAAAGTAATTACAGTTTCATTACTCACTCTTGAAGTTAATGTTTAACTGATATTTTCTATACAGGTTGTTTTCTTTTTTTGTTAAATAATGGAGTTATTTATGAGCAAATAAAACATCTAATTACTATTGAAAATGCAACACCAAAAAACACACAAATTGAAGTTTCATGACCCGATATTTCAATGTTATAGTACACTTACTAGTAGTTATGACATTTGTGTAAAAATTCCATTACGTTGTTTACTAAGAAATAAAATATTCGCAACAATTTTATCATAAATTAATAAAGAAACCTTTAGGGCTGTTTAACTAGAACAATTTTTACGAATTACCTTGTACAGATGTTTCTTCAGCATATCTTCGTTCGTGTTTACGTTCTTTTCTGTCAGACATGACGGAATTACTTAAAATAGTTACCTTTTTGGTTACGTTTAATTTCTTGTATTTGTCTGACCTTCGCAAAAGGTGAGGCGGTAATTTTAAATCCATAATTTCAAATATTCTTTTGACAATCTTTAGTTACATTTCCTAATTTAATCATCATAAGCTAAAAATAATTTATTTTTATAATCCATTTTTTGTGGGCAAAAAGTACTACGCATAATCTAATTAACAAAATGACACTAAAGAACGTCATTAAAGGTATAAAAAAATCAACCAGAGCTTCTAGTAGTTTCATTGTATCAGAATTAAATATTCTGAAAATTTTGTTTTATACGTAAATTTTAAAATAAAAATATTTCTAATACTTTTTAAGTAATTCTTCTAACAAATTTAAAAATAATATTTATTGTTGAA